GGAAGCAACCTAAATGTCCATCAGTAGATGAATGGATAAAGAAGATGTGGTACATATACACAATGGAATATTACTCAGCCATAAGAAAAAAACAAATCCTACCATTCGCAACAACATGGATGGAGCTAGAGGGTATTATGCTCAGTGAAATAAGCCAGGCGGAGAAAGACAAGTACCCAGTGATTTCACTCATATGTGGAGTATAAGAACAAAAGAAAACTGAAGGAACAAAACAGCAGCAGAAGCAGAGAACCCAAGAATGGACTAATGGTTACCAAAGGGAAAGGGACTGGGGAGGACGGGTGGGAAGGGAGGGATAAGGGTGGGAAAAAAAGAAAGGGGGCATTACGATTAGCATGTATAGTGTGGGGGCAGCACGGGGAGGGCTGTGCAACACAGAGAAGACAAGTAGTGATTTTACAGCACCTTACTATGTTGATGGACAGTGACTGTGAACGGGGATGTGAGGGGGACTTGGTGAAGAGGGGAGCCTAGTAAACATAATGTCCTTCATGTAATTGTAGATTAATGATACCAAAATAAAGTAAAAAAAAAGAATGACATCAACCCCATCATTTCCTTATTAATTTCAGAAAACTAATGGGTTACTATACATATTTTTAATTTAAGCAAGCATTCAATCTTTCAGTGCCAACAGCACTAAAGCTTTACAGTGTCTAATGATTACTAGGGGAATTACTTTGAAGTGTGGTACCAAGACCTCTGGTTTTTGTAGATGTTGTACAGAGCAAATGAATCTGCATTTTAACAAGAACCTTAGGTAATTAACCTTGGTTACTTCCAGAGCACACTTTGAGAAACCAAGGAGTTCTAAGGAGTGCACTATCTGTTCAGAGATTTCACATTATGTCTGCAGGGGCCAACAGTTAAGAGTGACATGCATACACTCACTAAAACAGGCACCTGCCATGTGCACTGCAATCACTGGGGAGAGCCTATTAAAATGTAGAATCCTGGGCTCCATCCTCCAGAGATTCATCTAGCAATCTGAATTTTAAACATGTGATTTTTAACTTTTGGATCACAGTTCCTGATGACAGACTAAGCCCTTAAGAGCAAGGAGGACATCTTCAGAACCCAGACACCAGATTCAACATATGTAACTACCTCCTAAATACTTATCAGAGTCTTGTTCTGCACGAATTCCATCCTCACCTGTATCTTGGAGCAATGCTTCATCTTATCCTCCTGAGGTATGGTATTGGTGACTACTACTGCTTCGAAGCATGCATTGTTAATGCGAGAAATGGCCGGGCCAGAAAAGATTCCATGAGTCAAGATAGCATAAACTCTAGTAGCTCCAGCTGAGAGAAGTCTAGAGGAAAAAGCAGAGTTGATTTGGACCAATCTTACTTGTCAATACAGAATCTGAGTTAGCTAGTGTTGCCGTAAGAAAATACCACAGGCTGGGTGCCTTAAATAACAGTTTTATTTCTCAGTTCTGGAGGCTGTGAAGGCTAAGATCAAAGTAGTGGCAAAGTAGGTTTCATTCTGAGGCCTCTTCTTTTTGGCTAGTGGGCTGCTGCCATCTCACTGGGCACTCACATGACCTCTTTATGTGCACACACATGGGGGAGTAAGGGGATCGAGCCCTCTGCTGTTTTTTATAAGGCTATTAATTCCATCATGGGCCCCACCCTCTAAACCTACTTACCTCCCAAAGGCCCTGTCTCCAAATATTGGAACACCATCTCCACAGTGGGGGGTTAAGACTTCAACATTTTAGGGGGACACAATTCAGTTCATAGCAAGGAGAAAAAATATGGACTAAGAACTCCTCTGAATGGGTTGGATTAGTATAAAAGACCTATAGCACAGACTGCTTTGTTACACAAAATCCATCTCTTCTTCCAGGGCACACACTGGGACGACATTTCCCAGCCTTCCTTCCATAGTTTAGGTGTGGCCATGTGACTTAATTCTGGTTATCAAAATGCGGGCAGATACAATGTACACTTCTTCTTGGCTGGGCTTAGAAAACTCTTTCAGGGACTCTCTTGTCCCCTCCTGGTGTGAGCCGGGAGCTCTGTCCTTTCACTTTATCTCCAAATAAAAGCCTGTACCTTGCTCTCCTAAAAAAAAAAGAAAAAAAAAAGAAAACTCTTTCATGGGTGATCCTCCACTCTGATTTCCCTTTCTGGCTGGCCAAAATGGAAATGTCTTCCAAGGTAATCTTGGAAGCCACATGTTAAAGATGCACATTGAAAGAGGAGTACTTCTACCGGAATAAGCCATGAACAAGAAAGAAACTTCATTGCATTAAGTCACAACATTTCAGGAAGTTGGTCTGTTACAGCAATTAGCATTACCTTAATAATACAAGGATAAAATGAGTCTTATAAACTATATATGCTCCAGAATCCAAATCAGGAATCATTCAGTACACAAATATCTTTTAGCACCTACTATATTCCAGACCCTGTGCAAGGCAAGATGCTCAAAGGTCAAGAAAAAATTGAGAAACAATGCTGTCCATAATGGTTTGGATTGTAAGCAATGGGAAACCACTTAAGGTTTTATTTTTTTACTGAAGTACAGTTGACAGACAATTATTATACTGGTTTCAAGTATACAACATAGTGATTCAACAGTTATATACATTATTAAATCTTTACCCCAACTAATGTAGTTACTATCTGTCATCTTAGGAAGATGTTAAAGAACAACTGACTATATCCTCTCTGCTGTACTTTCTTTTCATTCCTGTGACTAATTTATATAATGTTTGAGATTTGGGGCCTCTTTATTCCCTTCACCCACCTACCCCAAACACCCCCAATAGTAACCACCAGTCAATTCCCACTGTCAACCAGCCTACTGCTGTTCGTTCACTTTGTTTTGTTTTGTTTTTAGACTCCACATATAAGTGAAATTACATGTTACTTGTCTTTTTCCACCTGGCTTATTTCACTTAGCCTAATACCCTCTAGGTTCATCCATCCATGTTGCCACAAATGGCAGGATCTCTTCCTTTTTATGGCTGAATAATATTCTACTGTGTGTATGTACCACCTCTTCTTTATCCATTCATCTATGGATGGACACTTTGGTTGCTTCAATATCTTGGCTATTGTAAATAACATGGCAATAGCACATGTGTGCACTTATCTTCTCCAATCAGATTGTTTTCTTTGGTAAAATTCCTAGAAGTGGAGTAACTGGATCATATGGTATTTCTGCTTTTAGTTTTATGAGGAACCTCCATAACTGCTTTTCCATAGTAACTGTTCCAATTTACATTCCTACCAATAGTGTAGGAGGGTTCTCTTTTCTCCATATCCTTGCCAACACTTGTTATTTCTTATCTTTCAGATAGTGGCCATTCTAACCGGTGTGAGGTGATATCTTACTGTGGCTTTTATTTGCATTTCCCTGATGATTAGCTATGTGGAGCATCTTTTCATGCCCCCGTGTCCCATCTGTATCTCTTCTTTGGAAATATGTCTCTGCCCATTTTTAATCAGGTTATTTGATTTTCACATTGTTATTTACACTTCTTGCATATTTTGGATGTTAACTCCTTATCAGGTAAATCATTTACAAATACATCTCTCATACTGTTGCCTTTTTGTTGATGGTGTCCTTTGCTATACAGAAGCTTTTTAGTTTTGATATACTCCCACTGGTTCATTTTTACCTTTGTTCCCGTACCTGGGAAAGACATATCCAGAAAAAAACTGCTCATGCTTATGTTCAAGAGATTTTTGCCTATGTTTTCTTCTAAGAGTTTTATGGTTTCATGTCTTATATTTAGGCCTTTAATCCATTTCAAGTTTACTTTTGTGTATGGTGTTAAGAGTAATCCAGTTTCATTCCTTTGTGTGTAGCTCTCCAGTTTTCTCAACACCATTTTGACTGTCTTTTCCCCTATTATATTCATGGCTTCTTTATCATATATTAATTGACCATATATGTGTGGGTTTATATCTGGGCTCTCTATTATATTCTATTGATCTATGTGTCTGTTCTTGTGTCAATACCAAATTGCTTTGAGTACTGTAGCTTGTGGTAGAGTTTGAAGTCAGGGAACATAATACCCCCAGCTATATTCTTTCTCAGGCTTGCTTTTGGCTATTTAGGGTCTTCTGTGGTTCCATATAAATTTTAGAATTATTTGCTCTAGTTCACTGAAAAATGCTGCTGGTATTTTGATAGGGATTGCACTGAAATTATAAGTTTCTTTGGGGAGGATGGGCATTTTGACAATATTAATTTCCTTACCCATGAACATGGATAGTTTCCATTTATTTGTATCTAATTTCTCTCATCAGTGTCTTACAGTTTTGAGAGTACAGGACTTTCACCTCCTTGGTTAAATTAGGTTTATTCCTAGGTATTTTATTATTTTTGATGCAAAATTATAAATGGAATTGTTTTCCTGATTCCTCTTTCTTCTAGTTCATTATTAGTATATAGGAATGCAACAGATTTCTGTATATTGATTTTGTATCCTGCAACTTTGCTGAATTCAGATATTAGATCTAATAGTTTTTTGGCGGAGACTTTAGGCTTTTCTATATATAGTATCATGTCATCTGGAAATAGTGAGTCTTACTTCTTCCTTACCAATTTGGATGTCTTTTATCTTTTTTTCTTGTCTGATTGTCATGGCTAGGACCTCCAATACTATGCTGAATAAAAATGGTGAGAGTGGGCATCCTTGTCTGGTTTATGATCTTGGAGGAAAAGCTTTCAGATTTTCACTACTGAGTATGATGCTGCCTGTGGGTTTGTTGTATATGGCCTTAATTATGTTGAGGTACATTCCCTCTATACACATTTTGGTGAGAGTTTTTACCATGAATGAATGTTGAATTTTGTCAAATGCTTTTTCAGCATCTACTGAGATGATCATATGGTTTTTCTCCTTCCTTTTGTTAATGTGGTGTATCACACTGATTTATGGATATTGTACCATCCTTGCATCCCTGGAATAAATCCCACTTGGTTGGGATGGATGATCCTTTTGATGTATTTCTGAATTTGGTCTGCTAACACTTTGTTGAGAATTTTTGCATCTGTGTTCATCAGGGATATTGGTCTATAATATTCTTTTTTTGTAGTGTCTTTGTCTGGTTTGGGTATTACAGTGATGCTGGCCTCATAGTATGAGTTTAGAAGTATTCCCTCCTCTTCTGATTTTTGGAATAGTTTAAGAAGGATGGGTGTTAGCTCTCTTCTTTAAATGTTTGGTAGAATTTAGCTGTGAAGTCATCTGGTCCTGGACTTTGATGGGAATTTTTTAATTACAAATTCAATTTCATTACTGTAATTGTCTGTTCAGATTTTGTTTCTTCCTGGGTCAGTCTTGGATGGTTGTACTTTCTAGGAATTTGTCCATTTGTTCTAGGTTGTCCAATTCCTTGGCATATAACTTTTCATAGAATTCTCCAATAATTCTTTCTATTTCTGTAGTGTCACTTGCAACTTTTTTTGTTTCTGATTTTGTTTATTTATGTCCTCTCTTTTTTTCTTGGTAAGTCAGGCTGGGTTTTGTCCACTTTATCTTCTCAAAGAATCAGCTCTTGGTTTCACTGATGTCTACTACTGTTGTATTACGATCTATTGTTTCTGCTTTATTATGCCCCTCCTGCTAACTTTGTGTTTCCTTGTTCTGCTTTTTCTCGTTTCTTCAATTGAGGTAAGCCTGTATTGCCTTGTATGTCCTCTTAGAACTGCTTTTGTGGGGCTGCTCTTCTTCAAATCTATCTTTCCTGAAGTTCTGAGATCATCAATACTTTCCTGCAGATCAGTGAGCATATTTTATGACTGTTACTTTGAAATCTTTATCAAGAAGATTGGTGATCTCCATTTCATTTAACCCTCTTTCTGGTGTCCTACCTTGCTCTTTTGTTTGGAACATATTCCTCTGCCTCCTAATTTTGTCTACGTCTCTGTGTTTCTTCCTTTGTATTAAATATATCAGCTATATCTCCTGGTCTAGAAAGTAATGGCTTTATGAAGAAGGTATCCTGCGGTACCAAGAAGCTCAAGAGTTCACCAGCACCCAGTTCTCCTTTGGAGTGGAGCCACAGTTGTTGGTGGGCTATGGGTGGGGCCGCCTTGCTGCCTGTCTCTGGCAGTGGCTGATCCCTGTCTACAGAGGTTGAAAGCTTATCTGTCTGTGCCCTCTGTGTGCCATGAGGCACTTCTGCTGGGATTCATTGTGGGCGGGGCCACCTTCTGCCCTCAGACCAGCAATGGCAGAGTGACTGGAGAGGGTGGGTGTGCAGGGGAGTCCTGTTGCAGGGCTGAGCCACCAATGAAGGAGGTGGAGAATTTGGAACTGCAAGCACCCCACCAGTTAGGCTGAAGGAGGGCCAGAAAAGCTGAGAAAGTATCCTCCCTCTGCCTGCCAGGCAGGAAAGTCAAATTGTTGAACATGATGGGTGTGTAGGGAAGCACTGCTGCATGGTTGAGCCATCAGCAAGGGAGATGGAGCCTGTGAGCCGGCTCCCATGAGTGCCTGACCAGTTGGGTTGAAGAAAGGCTGAGGAAGCATCATCCACCTGCCGTTTCTCCTCAGGAGCAAAGTCCCTCCAACATCCCTCTGGTACCCTTTTTGTTGCTGGTAAATCTTTCAAACTGCCACTCTGTTAATCACGAATGCACAGTGCAATGTGTACTCATGTTCTCAGAGATCTCCAGAACCAGGTGTGCAGGATTCCTCAGTGCTTATCATATCCCTGCTCCATTCCTCTCCCTCCTGCTTGTGGGCTGGGGTGGGGAATGGCAGTCATGGCTCTGCCACTCTACCATTCTCAATGCTGTCTTCTCTGCTTCACCAGGTATAGACGGTCTGTTCTTCAGTCTTCATGTTGTTTTCAGGGTTAGTTGTATTTTCTGTAGCTACTTCCTTCGTGTGTGTGTGTGGGGGGGGTGGTTTCTATCTTACTCTGCCATCTTTTCCCCCTCTCATCCTGCCATCTAAGGTTTTAAAGGAGAGGAGTATTGAGACCTAGTTATAAAGATTCACAAGTGGGGAGGTAATGTGAAAGATGGATTGGGGAGGTAACAGACTGGTGACTGGCAGCAGAGAGAACAGAGAAGCCCATTTAGAACAGTGCAGGCAAGAGAGAAGAAGTAGTATGAATGAAGGTACTAGCAGCTAGAATGGACAGTCAAGAGGTAGGACCAAGGTTTTGGTTTAGGTAAAACTATAAATGTGAGAATATATTGTCTGCTCAGGCCTATGGATTTCTACCTTAACTTGTTCTTAAAATCTACCAAAAATATGGTACGTGAAGTGATGAGAAAATTTTGAAAACAGTGGTGATAGTTGTACAACATTGTAGATGTAACTAATGCCAGTAAATTATATGCTTAGAAATAGTAAAAATGGCAAATTTTGTTATCTATAGGTTAGTATAATAATAATAAAAAAAAGAAACTAAGGAAATCTGGGGGGAAAAATAGAGTACTTATCAATTTATGCCAATTATAATTTAAGCCTAGAGTGATAAAAGAACACTCCTAAAGCTAGTTATCATTACCTAATGAGCAGGCTTAAGGCGTTCAGACAGCAGTTAGCTTTTTATTTCTAACCACCAGCTCCACCACTCAGCACTCACTTGTCAGCCGCATGGCAGATTGTGCCACATGTGTCAGCCATGTCATCCACCAGGATGGCCACTCGATCCTTCACATCTCCCACCAGAACCATGCGATCTACTTCATTGGCCTTCTTCCGTTCTTTATGAATCAAGGCAAAGTCCACATTCAACCGGTCTGCAATGGAGGTTACTCTGCAAAACAGGGTGTTCAGTTAAAACCTGTGTGTGTGTGGCTCCTAAAACAAAAGAAAGGGCCTAATATTGGACTGTTTTCTGGGGGAAATACTCCCTGAAACCAGACTGCTCCCGGGGCTGGAAGAAAACTATAATTGACTTCTCAAAGAAAAACATCACAAACTGAGTTTTATAGACTAATGCCTCCATCTCCTGAGAGCCATTTATGAATGTATTAGTCAGGCTTAGATATAATTAATTCTAGTTTACAATAGGGATAGGCAGATGTCCTCACCAGTCCCAGGAAACAGTATAATGCTAAGGCACATTCATTTAATGGATTGGCAGCAGAAGGGGAGAGAAAGAAGACTTCATTAACTGTCAGGAGGGCACAGATTGTCCCAGTTTGACATGCGGATGAGGTGAGAAGTGAACCTGAACCTGGCAGGAAGGGAGCAGTACCCAGCCTGTTGCAATGCCTGTGCTCTCGCCACACTCCCCTCAGTGATCCACCAACTGCCAGTGTCAACTGTACCTGGACACCAAACTTGGGAGTTCCTTTGAGGAGTGCTAGAAAGGAAGTCATACCAATTAAGCAGGCAAACTAGGCATCTTGCTACAGAGCCCAAAGTATCTCTAAATCAAAACATAATTCTAAATTCTTTATCACAAGATAATACAAACCAGACTAGAAGGTGGGATAGAAGACAAATCTGTCTGGTGACAAAGCACCATATAATTCACTCAAACACAAATCTATTCAGTGCTTCCCGAGTGACATGCAGGTCCGTGCTCCACTGGTGTCATCTTCACCATGTGTGAAGGGGCCTGTGCTTTGGCTTTCATTTATTTAATGTAGCACTGATCCAACCAGAATATTATATCCTATTTCCACTGTAACTATGGTCATATATCTAAGTTTGTGCTGGAAGGGGGAGGACCTGTGACCACATAATAGAGAACACACAAGGTCTGAACCACAACCTTGGCAACACTGGTACCCTGCTCTAAATGACCTATACCCTACGCTTTCCTCTACTACTATGTGGGCACAGAACAGCAAGAGTAACCAATCTACTTGGAATGATTACTTATCTGAGGCAAATGCATGATCAATTAGTTCAAGCACCCCAAACCGTCCAAACTCAATGGTCAACAGGTTCAGTGGCTGATAAAACATGAATGGCTAGAAAAAGTTACTCCCTATACACTTGAGGGGAGAACTATGCACAAGTCACAGTTGCACAGGGATCTTCACCTATTCTGAAAACCCTGCCAAGACAGAAGTGACAGCCAGTGATAGTCACTTTGAAAGCACTCCACCACTAAAGAAAATTATGAACAAAAAAAGTAATTATATAATAATAAATCACCTACTGAAGGCAGTTTTTCTGTACTCAACTTTGAAAAGAAAATCCTGCTTTATAATTTATTTCAAAAATGACTATTTTCTAAGTCCCATGGCAAGATGTGAAAATAATGACCATGTTAAGACAAGTATGACAACTACCATTAGGCAGACATTTTCAGGCTTTGTCTCTATAGTGTAACAGATGGCAACCACTGATTACATGGGACTCACAAAGCCATACATCAGGCTGGATAACAGAACTCAAGCTCTCAGCTCATCAGTTCTGTTGAAGTTACTGAAATAAAGAGGTTGTTGAGAAAGAGTCATTGAAGATTTGAATGGTCTTTAGAAACATGTGAATTAGCTTTCCCTAATCATCTGTGTTTTGTAGCTCTTCGTTCTATTTCCACAACAAGAACATGTGTCATACTTCTGAATGCATTACTAATGAGGGATCTGCTAAGGAAATCAAGAGCTCTTAGTTTCCCACCATGTGAGCCACATAAAGCACTGCAAGTGGCGATCCTTGGCAGTCCATTTGTTTAAAACTGGGCTTGGCTTTAAATAATATCACCCCACTTTATTTTCCTTCCTGTTTCATATTTTAATACCAGAATCAAAATGGTCTAACCAAAAGCATTCTGAAGTATAGAACGCTTACTTGTCCACTATATTATGGGCTCAAGAGATGGGAGGTGCCGTTCACTAGAATATCAAATCACCTGCCCTTCCTGATTGGTTTATAGCAGTGCTGCTGGCTCTGCAGTGACAGGTTACTAACAAGCTATACAAGCCCACAATACCACAACCCTTTAGGTTCCCCTTTCTGCTATCTTGTCTTCCAGGCATGAGTAAAACTATACTAACCAACCCATGTCCCAGCTACTGGTACACCCATTCTAAAGTACTTAAAAGTTGTCACTTGACAGAAAAACATCACTCTCTAAAACTGTCTGAACGGTTTCCCAGGACACTGGGAATCATATGAATTTCAGCCATACCTCTTAGCTCCACCTGCATCAGGTGAGACAATAGTGCAGTTCCTCCACTCAGAGATGTTCTCCCTTATCCACTTCAGGACAGCTGGCTCTGCATACAAGTTGTCCACTGGGATATCAAAAAAGCCCTGTAGAAAGAAGCTGGGTCAGTTTTACTTATCAGTGATTAACTGAAAGAGGACAATAACTTGCCTAAAGAACACTGTATTGCAAAATCCAAACTAACTAGAAGGCATGTCTAGTGTGGGAGACTAAGAATGGCTTCCTTAGATCTGGGCTGTGCCAAGAGTGCCCAGCCAAGATGGGCAAAGGCAGCCCTCAGCTAACCCACAAATGACCACAGGCACACAAGTGAGCCCTGGGAACAAACAGCCAAGTTCAGCCAATACCAGAACTGCCCGGCCGATGGGCAAACTCGTGAGGTGATAAATATTTACTGCCTTATGTCACTAAATGTTGGGCCAGTTTGTTAAGGAACAAAGGTAACTGCAACCAGAGATGTATGCTATATCAACTTAGTGGAAGGTATGTAAACAAATGGTCATACAGAGTAACTAGATGTCAGGAGTTCTGTGTTCTAATACTAGTTGCATCAGATTATTGTGTTTCTTAATTAGTTTGTTCCTCTTCTATAAAATGGGTATCATCCCCTGCCCTATGTACCTTTTGGATTTCCATAAGCCTTCAATGCCAGTGATTTGGAAGTCTCTCTAAAAAATATAAAATAGAAGATGGTATTCTGCTCTCAACTACGGATTTACACAGGAAGTAGGCTCCAATACCTGTGGCTCTAAATGTAACAATGACCATAATAGCTATCATTTATTGAAGACCTGTCATGGGCCAGGCATTATACCATAAATTTATTATCCTGTTTAATACACTATATGTATAGTGTATATAATAGTAACAATGCACTATTATGTTCAGAGAAGTTAAATAACCTGCCCCAGGTTACAAAGCTGGTACTCATCAGAGCCAGGATTCAAACTAGGTCTGATCCCTAAACCTGTGCTCTTCTTCAAATTTCAGACTGCCTCCCTATCCAACCCCGACAAATGACTAAGATCATGAACGATGCTTCAGAGGAGGGTGTTTAAAATGTTGTCAGTGTCTAGCTTAATGGAGCTATACTTGCTGGACAGTTTTTTGCTTCTCCGTAGTCTTCAGCTTTCTCAGTCCTCTACTCTCTTCATTATCTCTAGCCTCTAATATTTAGCTTCCATTGATACCTGAATTTGAGAAGCATGCAGGTCCATGGTGATAATATGATCCGCGCCTGCTACAGAGAGCATATTTGCAACAAGCTTGGCAGAGATTGGAGCCCGGCTCTAAATAGGAAGGAAAGGAAACAAATAAAAAGTCAATTTGAGAACAATTCATTTGCTTAAGAAGCATTTATTTACTGTTTTTAATAAATATACTATAAATACAGTACTTACACTGTTTAAGGCTCTATGCAACCAGGAAATTCATAGAAAGTGCCATGGTCAATTGACTGAGTAGATCACAATCTAGCATAAATATTAAGTGGAACATCACTTTTCCAACTCAGGATATATATTTCAGAAAAGAAAATATCTTCCTACCTTTTCTTTTCTTAGCTTAATGTACATTATTTTCAGCCTACTCAAGTATTCCAATGCTCAATTATTTAAACTAAGCAGACAATCTTTTTTGGGAGAATTTTATTAAAACTTAACATGTACATAACTCAAACCTATATAACATGTAAAAAATTTAAAGACATATCAAAAAATGGAAATTATAGTTTATTTTATAAGTTACAGTACTCGGTGACTCATCAGGATGCCAACATCCCAGCAACCTCAAGCCCCTTAAGTAACAGGTAAACATACCTGCTACATGTAAAATAGCAAAGCCCATGCATTTGCTTTATTCTATCCCCTGTAGGAGCACCTACACAGGCATAAAACAATCTGCCCTTCTCCCAGGCCTTGTATAGAAAATTTGGGCATTGATTATGGTAGACCTGCAAGTTTTATGTATATGCCTTACCCTGTAATATACAGACAAATAAGGTGAGGTGCATGTGTGTTTGCGTACAATGAGACCAACATTATTTAAGACCTGTGAATTCAGGTGTTATGAAGAGGTCACAACTAGAACCCCAAGGGGGTCTCGGAGGATCCACCATTGTTTAAAAAGTAGTCTCCTCCATGGGAGCTGGTGTTTACTCTTACACCGATACAACTGAAGTCAGCAGTGAGCTAACTGAAAATGCCACATGCCATAACCAGAATAAAGTATGCACACTACAAGTGTGCTGCTTTCTACAAGCCAATCATATGTCAACTGTTTTGAAGGCTGGGTAGGAGAGAGTATGGTAAAAATAGTGCCTTCTAAATACACTTATCTAATGATTAAGGAATTTTTTTGTGACTTTGGGCAAGGGCTCCTACTTCCCCTGACTGAAAAAAAAGAGATTCTGCCCCTACCTTATCCTTCTTATCCTGCCGGGCATAAGGGAAGCATGGGATGACTGCAGTAACCCGGCTGGCTGAAGCAATCTTGCAGGCATTAATCATTATCAAAAGCTCCATTAAATTGTCATTGATCTCACCACAACCACTCTGGACAATGTAGACATCTTCTCCACGCACACTTTCACCGATTTCCACACTAAAACAGGAAAGGAAGAACAAAAGCAATAGATTTTAAAGTACTATACTATACTTCTAAAGACAGTAGGTCCAAAAAGCATTGTGTCCCTTCTGGTATGCTATGAGTGGGGTAGAGCTACATGTGGACAATGATCCCCTAGGACTTGAGGAGATCCCCTATACCAGAAACAGTTTATTCCCAGTGCACCTAACAAATATTACCATTTTCACATGTGACATGACATGAAAAAGGCTCCAGTATTTACAAGTAATGGGACCTTCATTTTAGCAGATGGCCTATATCTATTACATATGGAACATAACATGTAAATGCAAATTTGAAATAGCATCTGTGCCTGCCACAATCAATATACAACAAAACAGGAAGATCATATAAGAAATGAATCACTACTGTTCTATAACGTGTTCTACAAAAGTCAGTATCATATCTAGGACACTGGCAGTTCACTCAACAAATATCAAATGTGCACAGGCCAGTCACTGCGCTAGATGCCAGGGACACAATGGAAAACATAACAGATGTGAGCCTTGCCTTCATTCTATGCTAACTGTACTATGGTCCAACTAGAAAATCTTTTCTCAAAGATTCCACAGGTAGTATAAAAACAAAGCAAAACTGAAGGAACAAAACAGGAACAGACTCACAGACTCCAAGAAGGGACTCGTGGTTACCAAGGGGAAAGGGGCTGGGGAGGGTGGGTAGAAAGGGAGGGAGAAGGGGATTAAGGGGTATCATGATCAGCACACATAATGCAGGGAGGGCATGGGGAAGGAAGTATGCCACAGAGAACATAAGCAGTGACTCTACAGCAACTTACTACACTGATGGACAGTGACTGCAATGGGGTGTGGGGGGGACTTGATAATGGGGGTTAATGTAGTAACCACAATGCTCCTCATGTGAAACGTTCCAAAGATTGTATAGAAATAATACCTTAATATAAAAAAAGATTCCACGGGAGGTTACCCTAATTATGAAATAGGACTACATTATACCATAAAATGAGTTTTACTATCTATGCTTGAATCCCTACCCAGATTAATTCAGGATTGAAAAATATAACCTGATGAAAACAGATGCAAAAATACTCAACAAAGGGGGAGGAGCCAACATGGTGGTGTGAGTAGGACAGTGGGAATCTCCTCCCAAAAACATATATATTTTTGAAAATACAACTAATCCTAAAAGAGAGACCAGAAGACACAGGACAACAGCCAGACTACATCCACTCGTGCGAGAGCCCAGCGCTTGGTGAAAGGGGTAAGATACAAGCCCCGGCCCCGTGGGAACCAAGCGTACCTCCCCCCAGCTCCCAGCGGGAGGGAGAGGGAGCCCAGGACTGATAAACACCCAGCCCCAGCCACTCGCACCAGAGCGCAGACATAGTGCATGCATGAAGGGCTGGAAACTAGGGAAATAGGGCTGCAAGACCTCTGAGCGGGATCCAAAGCTGATGCCCCTGTGACAAAGAAAAGCGAGTGCTTTTTGAAAGTCTTAAAGGGACAGGGACATAACAGCTGGAAGGAAACAACAAAGGTCACAGTCCAGTGGCTGGAAATTACAGGGAAAACGGGGCGCACTAAACCCCTGGGCAACAGCTCTGAGACCCCTCAAGGAGGTAAACAGCCAAACAATCCCCCTGTCCATTACCCCTCCGGGCACTGTGAAAGCAGAGAAGCAGCCTAAGGCAAGCCCCGCCCTCATAAAGGGAGTTTTCTCCATATCGGCGGCCAAGACACAAAGACCCAGTCTACGTGCAATTACCCAACACAAGCCACTAGGGGACGCAGTTGTCCCAGTAAAGAAAGGCCAGTAGCAAGTGAAAAGTTTGGCCCTCCCAGCTGACAGTCAATAGCACCTGTCAACATGAAAAGGCAAAAAAATATGATCCAGACAAGACTAACCCAGACAGCTTCGGCATCTGCTACATCTTCCCGTGAGAAGGAACCTGGGGAGATAGATTTAGCCAGTCTTCCTGAAAAAGAATTCAAAACAAAAGTCATAAC